CATGATTGACTCCTCATATAAATATACAAGGATGTTTCTCCCAAGGAAATTAGTATGAAGAAACATAATAACTAATCAACAACAACAATATTGTCATGGTCTAACAGCAAAAACAAATTTTCTGAGGTATGTGAGCTCTGCATACAGCATAAGCACAAACTGTATAGTTGGTGTGACGACGCGTGATTGTCATTCTGTTTGCGCCACTTTTTTTTTTTCTTTCTTAAAATATTGTATTGTTTTAGTATGCACAGATGACTAGTAAATAGTTCTAATAGCCTGATCAGTGATCACTAAAATCCTTCTTAACAAACCATGCAAACACTTTTCTAGGGTAGTTGCTCCAAAAACACCTGATATATATACTATATCTATCAAAACTGATTAAGATATAAATATACGAAGTATGAAATCAAAATGAGTTAAGGTTAAAATGCATAGGAGAATTACTTGTAAAAAATAGCAAAAGTTCAACCAAAACAATTACCAAACAATAGCTTATTAGCATGGAGCTGAAAAGCTATAAATATAAATGACGGCAACACATCACCAGTAGATATTATTCTGAGAGCAGAAACAAAAGAGGAATGAAATAGCAGTTCATACCTTCACCTATTCATCGTACACGGCCTTGTCTACTTGCAACAATTTCTTTTCGGCATCCTATCCAAATCCTGAGGTGGATAGCATTTCCGCAAATGCACTATATTTCTCCGACCAATGCTTGATCCTTGACTCAATGTGGGGAACGTTCTCAAGCCACAATTAGGAAGTACAACATTGATCATCTCTTCCAACTTATTCATGTAACCATTCTTAAACCCATTCTCACACTTCCACTTCGGATCGCAACTCAACTCATGCAAATATCTTATTAGAACCGCATCTTCTTCATACGTCTAATACCTTTTATTTTTACCTCTTCCTCGATTGCTAGCCTCCATTCTAAACAAATTGTAGATTAGAAGGTAAATTAGAAATAATGAACATAACATAAGGTAAATTAGAAATGAACCAACCACATTGTAAGGGAAACGGTAAGCTGATTCCGTTTCCACCCATACCAAAAACCCATACCAAACACCCCCGAGTGAGAGAATGAAACAACAACCGAATGAACCGATGTGGGTTTGATGTTGGGGCCCATGGAGCCTCGTGAGTTTAGGTGAATCCGGATCGAGACATCGAGTTATTATTCATTATTAACGAGTCAATTTAGATGTTGAGGTCGAGTTTGGTGAGATCGGATCGGGTCAAGTCTATTTTAAATTTGAGTTATGTTGAATTCGGGTCAGGTTTATACAAGTCAAAATCTAAATTTAATTTAATTTCAGGTCGGTTTCACATCGGGTCAATTGGGTCAGGTTTTGACACCTCTAATATTTATTACTCCCTCTGTTGTGGAATAATTTATGTGGTTAGTTGTATATGTGGGAGTAGAAGAAAATGTTGATTAAGGATCATAAATTGACTCAAGTCAGATCCAAACCCTACCTAATAGGGGCGTTCATTATTCGGATAAAAACTGAAATCCAATCCAATCCAAATCGAATTATTAATTCGGATTAGATCCAAACTTTAATTCGGATCAGATTGGATTGAAGTTTTTTTAAAATTTGGATTTCGAATCGGCTCGGATTGACCTTGTTTGGATCCAAAAAACCGAATTTACCGAAATATGAAACCATACTTTTACAAATAATGATTGTTTATATTAATCATGTAAAATTATGTTGATAATTTTATTAATATAAATTATGCAAAACTATGTTTTAAATACTTGTATTAATAATGTACAACTTTATAATTGCATTTTTATTTTTATAATCACTTTAGGCCCTAGAAATTTGCTATGTATTTTAATTCGGATTTTCGGATCGCATCCAAATAACTAAATTGTAATTCGGATTGGATCGGATTAGATTGATGATAAATTCGGATCGGATTGGATTTGAAAATTAAAAACCGAATTTTATTTCGGATCGGATTGGATTTGGCCAAAATCCAAACCGAAAACCAAATATACACCCCTAGTACTAGAGCTGTCAAAAGCTGACCCGATCCGAAATACCGACCCTAACCCAACCCTAACCCTAACCCGTCTGAACCCGAAAAAAATGGTGACCCAAACCCGACCTAACCCGACCTAAAACCAACCCTAGACCCGAGTTGACCCGAGTATTTGAGACCCGAACCCGACCATGACCCGACCTAGAGAGGACCCGACCCGAATGTGACCCGTAAATTATTGACCTGAACCGAACCCGACTCGAACCCGAGAATGACCCAAACCCGATTTAACCCGTCAAAACCCGAATTCAACCCGACTGGTTACTAACCTGACCCGAGGTCAACCCGACTCGTTCCTAACCCGACTCGAATTTAAACCCGACCTGAGGCTTGCAACCCGACTTGTTATTGACCCGACCCAAATTCAACCCGACTTCTTATTGACCTAACCCGAATTTAAACTCGACCTATTACTAACCCGAATTTTAGGATTTAGGAGTTTTTAGGATAAAAAGAGTACTCCGTATTGACTATTGAGTTTCAGGCTTTTTTTCAATTTATTAACATGGATTTCAATTATGAAACAAAAGTGGCCTTTCTCATCTTACTTGACTTATCTCTTACATAATCCTCGTCAAAGAAAAACTGAACTGGACAACAGCCACAAAAAAAAAAAAAGACTGAATCTTCGTATATTAAGGAAGGTTGCTCTCTAATGGCGAGATTGACGAAATTTTCCACCATGAAATCTCTATTGTGATTGATTTTATTTTTCCTAATTATCTCCAACTTCCTATATGAGCAATGAGCTATATGAGGACATGAGGTGATAGAGTATTAGAATAGAGTTGTGACTCTATGAGCTATCAATGTTTTTTAAACGTATTTGAGGCAATATGAGGTGAGTGAATTTTGTCTATTTTTTTTTATTTTTTTTTTTGAAAGATAGTGATTTTGTCTAATTAAATCAGCCAAATGTATTTTTTTTTCTAAATTTATCTTATAAATAAACTTTTTTTTTTTTTTTGAATAGCAAAAACATTTCATTAATTAAAAGTCATACGACATCTACAATAGAGATTCGACGTTAACAAATACATAAGATTATAACCCTTAAATAAACTTCCATATAACTACTTATATATTTTTTTCAAATGTTAGTATTCACTTGTTTATTTTAATATTTTTTTAAATGTTTTAAATTATGCAATTTTATTTGGAGCTTAAAAAAAAAATATTAAAAATTTATTGACTTGAACCGAATCCGACTCGAACCCGAGAATGACCCGACTTGAATATGAACCGACTTGATTATAACCCGCAAATTATTGACTTGAACCGAACCCGACTCGAACCCGATAATGACCTGACCTGATTATAACCCGTAAATAATTGACTTGAACCGAACCCGAACAGAACCCTAACTCGTTTAAACCCGTAAAAACCCGAATGTAACCCGACTTGTTTTTCACCCGACCCGAATGCAACCCGACCTTTTATTGACCCGACCTAAACCCGACCCAAACCCGATAAGATGTATGACCCGACGTGACCCGACTCAAGCATGACCCAACCCGAACTCGACCCGCATAGGTCCCGACATTAACCCGTATTGACCCGACCCGAGATGACCCGACCCACACTAACCCGACTCAAACCCGACCCATTTACCCGAATTGACAGCTCTACCTAGTACCCATAATCAAATACAAAGGCGCAATTTGACTAGATTTAATTAAACTAAAGAATTTATTCTGATATTCTATAAAATTGGATTGTTTTATGTTATTATAAACTAATTGGCATTTATATCTTAAGAGGTGATATACAAAACCTAAGACTATCAGGTCTATCAGCGGGAATAATGCTCTTAAGATGAGTGTATATGAGAATGTTTTGGAAATACTTTTGCTACTTGAATAGCTATTCTCTAAGAGCAAAATGTCATTTTGGCATCCAACTCAACTTTAACTTACAAGGTCTAATAAAATTTAGACAAATTTATCCTTGAAAATTAGAGAAAAAAATGCACCCTAACATATGTAAGACAGTAATATTTTAGTGATCAATAATACTCTACATTAAGTTGTCAATAACATTTGAGAGACTTTACTAGCATATAGATCTAGGACACCAGACTGCTTAATTAATCTTTGTTACTCACTTTAATATTATTGAATCAAATCAATCAATTATGGTGTTCATTGGATTTTATTTATTTATTTATTTTGGTAGGTAAGGAGAATTACCTATCGAAACCAATTTGACCTAAGTTATCGAACAAGTCTTTTTGAAAATTGAGGGAAAGGGTTGAAAATATCCCTACTCTCAAAAATCATTAATATAATATGATCTCATAACTATTTGATTTTTTGATGTAAATCTTCTCACTAAGCCAACTTTTGCTCGATAGTGTTTTTGATATAATGATGGATGTAGGCATGTAGCAGTTTTTTTTTTTTTTTTTTTTTTTTTCTTCGAAAAGGCATGTAGTAGTGTTGGTAGGACTGTAGGAGTAAGCGAGTTGGCTAGGAAAGAAAAGTGAGGAAATTTGTGGGGATCGAAAATAACACAAAAATAGAAAAATTTGTAATCCAATACATGTGCATTTTAGGAGCTTAGTATAATTTGATTTATATTGTACTCCGTAATAACCTATAATTATCTTAGTAATGGAAGACCGTCCATATTTAAAATTCTTCTTGTTATTTTTCTATTGAGATAATCAATAATGAAGATTATTAAAAAAGACATCAATAATTTATGTTTTCCTATTGAATTTTCCTTTCCGATGAGACAGAGTAGTTTACATTTTTAATTCAACAAAACAATTTACGATATCATTATACCTATTTTTCTATAGTACTTTATATTATGACTATTATCCATAGTTTTCATGATTAACCACCACTTGTATACAATCATTCAAGATAGTCCAAAATCTGACGACACCCATCTCTTACTTTTTTTTGAGGATCAATTTTCAATTGGTACTCTCTCCAAAAAAAAAATATAATTGGTTCTTACCAAAAAAAATTCAATTGGCCCAACCCTTTAATTTAATTGTGTATTGCTGAAAAAGATTCCTGTCCTTGGTTTAGAATCTGCAAATTTTCACATTACCAACACCTTATCCTCTGCTAAAAAAAAAAAAAAAAAATATTAATTTCTTGACTTTATTTAGTTTTTTTCATACCCAAAAATATCTTCTAAACTGTATAAATTGACAAGAAAGGTTCTCTATTTTTCTGGGCATCATTTCCTTCTTCATCCCCTTAAAAAAAATTGTAGCTTTACTAGTTTTGATTGAAGTTTTTCAGGGGATCGAAGATGGCCGCCTTTTTTCTGGGTTTTTCTCTGCTTCTTCTACTTGCTCCTTCGGTAATTCATTTATCCATTTCTTTTGGTTGATCTTTTTTATTTCACTGAATTTGTCATCCATTAAAGTTTCCATTTTTGGTTAATTGAACTTTTATTTTTCTATGAATATCTTAGTATGTTTGCCTTATATTGATATAGTTGACCCACTTATCTTAAAGTTATGATCACTTGTTATAATTTGTTATGGTCAAATTATAATAACTACCCATTTCAAGGGGTCTGTTTATATTAGTGTTTAATTTGTTTAGAATCTTTAATTTATATTAGAGTTATAGATATGAGTATATGACTATACGAGTTAGCTTAGTTAGTAGAGTCTTAAGGCGTGTATCTAAGACTCGGGATCAAATTCCGTCATTCTTTTGTGGTTCTCTATATACGAAATTATAATAGAATTACGATTGATTTGCTATGATTGGATCTGTGGAACTTTGAATTTGCGGGGAGAATTGAGAAAAAATTCCCTTTTTTTCTTTGGAAAATATAAATTTCTTAAATAAAGAAGATAGGAATTTTGGTTGAATTTCTTGTTCAAATTTTGATTTGAGCAATTGTATTGGTGGGGTGGGGCAGGAGAAGTAGGAGGCTTTGGTGTATTCTATTTATTAGTGGCCATTTCTGGGTCAGTTAGCAAATTTGTCTTTTTGGGAAATTCTTGTTTTAATGAAATATCATGACTCACATAGTTTGTCCTGTGTTAATGGGTTGATCTTTGAGCTTGATTTAAGTTGTTGCAATTGCTATCATCACTTGGAACTTGTAAGAAATACTTGGGAGTTTTTGTTTGTCGTAAAAGTGTTTGATAATTGATTTTAGCACTACCAAAGTTATAACCGCACTCTACTTCTTTGAAGAAGGAAGAATGGAGCTTGGTTACAGATTCTTGGAGTGTCAATAACCAAACCACCCTCTTATCAGTTCTCCCAAATATTGCTCCTACACGTTTACAATCCTAGTACATACGAAATTTTTTCTTTACTCTTCGAAAGTGTTTAGAATTATGTGCTTTAAGTGTATAGAGTTGTGCTTTCAATATTTTGTCAACCTATGAACTAATGCCTTTTTTACTTTCCAAAACGTTCAACTTAGCGCAGTTTTTACTTTGCTATATACAATTACTTAAAATTATAACTTATTAGCAATGGACTTTGTGGTAACTTGTAATCTACTGATGGAGTAAGAAAATGCTAATTGAGTAAATGTAGGTGCGAATAAAAATCTAAGAGTAGTGATACATAACTTTAAAGAACCCCACTCAAGGTGTAAATTTGTCATAGATTCTCAACCCACTCTTATTTTGAGAGTTATATATAATGCTTATTCATGGTTAGCGAAACCTAGTGGAGTGGAGTCTTATGGATTGCAAAGACAAACGTATGACCTTGACCTCTTGCTGAAAGCTGAAATCAAAATTCATTACCTAACAACATGTAAGTGTGTGCATTGCCGTGCAAGAAGCGCGACATCATAAATTAGTTCTTGTATGTCCCCAGCCACAGGACTACTTATGCTCACAAATTTAGTACTCTTTACTGGTCGTTATTTAGTTCCTGAGAGTATAAAAGGTCTGTCCTTAAGTAGTAATGAAGTAGAATTTGAAGCTGTATGTTATACTAAAGCTGCTTGCTATGCTTCTCAATACATCAGTATCTTGTTATCTGTTCCTTTCTTGACTTGACAAATTCTCTAACAAATTTTTATATTTATATTGCAGGTTATTGTGGCCGAATCAGTTTCTGAGCTGAAGCTGAACTCCAACCTTCTCCAGGTATGTTTAAGCTACCTTGAGTGATGTATAACTTATGAGCCATCTCTATATTGATCAACACACCTTCGTATCTTATTTCAGGACTCAATAGTCAATTCAGTAAATACAAATCCAAAAGCTGGATGGAAGGCTGGCATGAACCCGCGATTCTCTGAGTTTACAGTGAGTTTTCGTTCAAATGTTCTCTGATAATTATTTGATGAGACTCAATCTTTAATCTTCAACAACCTGAGTGTTTCTTTAGATTTGCGCAAAATTTTCATTGCTGTTTTTTTCTATCATTGTTAAGCTTGGCCAATTCAAGCGCATCTTAGGTGCTAGACCAACCCTGGAGAGTGAGAAGAGGAATATTCCTCTAGTGCATCATGACAGGTCCTCGAACTTGCCAAAAGAGTTTGATGCCAGAAAAACATGGTCTCAATGTAGCACTATTGGCAGAATTCTTGGTAAGTCAAGTGATGTATTCTTCTTTCTAATTAATTTTAACAATATCTATGCAATGATCATCTAATTCTTATTTACTTTTGTCTCCCTTTTCCTCTATCTCACTTTGGGGTCATTGCTAAATTTCGTATCAAAGACCAGGTACGTAGCATCTTATTACATTTTGTTAAAACAGCTCAGTTAAGATAAATCACAACATTTCAAGCTCACTTAGATGATCTTCTGCTATCTGTCAAATAGGGTCACTGTGGTTCTTGTTGGGCATTTGCTGCTGTTGAAGCTCTTTCAGATCGTTTCTGCATTAATTATGGCATGGTAACTACACTCTCTATCTTTTGAATTCATTATATTTTCCTTTCCTTTTGAAATAAATCATGACATTATGTTCTCCCAAATACGTCCTTGTAGAACATCTCATTATCAGTTAATGATCTCTTGGCATGCTGTGGGTTCTTGTGTGGAGCCGGATGTGATGGTGGGACACCCATCTATGCCTGGCGCTATTTTGTTCACCATGGTGTTGTCACAGAAGAGGTAAAGAAATTATTCTTCATCCCAATGATATATTTTCTCAACTTTTCAACCATTTCCTACTACTTATTTCTGAATGTTTGACGTGTGTGATTGATTTCTCTGTAACAGTGTGATCCATACTTTGACACCACTGGTTGCTCCCATCCAGGTTGTGAGCCCGGTTACCCTACTCCCAAGTGTGTAAGGAAATGTATGGGTGGCAACCAATTATGGAGACAATCAAAGCACTATGGTTCAAATGCCTACAGAATTAAAAAAGACACATATCAGATCATGGCTGAACTCTACAAGAATGGACCTGTTGAGGTGGCTTTTGATGTTTACGAGGTAATTGAATAGAAATCTGAATCACCTAGCAAGCATTGTTCAGTTTTAATAGTTTGAAATTCAGTGACGGAGCTCATATTTAATCAAGCTGATTTCATTACAAACTAATAGATAAATGAATTAATACTAATATTAAATAAGCTATATTGGTGACTTGTGAGGCCACAAGGTTTCCTTTTCCTTTGGTTTGTCAAACATGAACAATGATTTGGGATGACAACCTGCTAGATAAGATTTAGGGGGCGTTTGGTATGAATAATGGAAATGGAGTGGAAAGGAAACAAATAAGAGGGAGGAAAGGAATCATTTGACACTTACCTTTTCGTTTGTTTGGTTTAATCATGGAAAGGAATCACTTAAACCTATCTCCCTTCATTTTTGATTGAGGAGAGAAAGGGTAATTATTACCTTAGGTTTTAGAGAGGTAATAAAATGGGTGGAAACCATTACCCTTAGGTAATGGTAATTGTTACCCAAGCCTTCCAACCAAACACTTGGTAATGGTAATGGTTTAATTGAATCAGTTTCCAACCCAAAAAAACTCTTACCAAACATGCTCTTAAAGTGCTGACCACCCTCAACATTTGCTATGTAATTTCTAGAGTGCTTTAATTAACAGATATTAAGTGGGTTCAATTGAACCCTGTGCTTCTAACATAGGTCTGTCACTGATCGATTTTTCTAAGGGACATAAGCTGGGAAAACCAGAATCGAGAGAAAGAGTGGTTGCTCCGCCTTTTGCTCAATTCTAACTTTATTCAATTTCAGGATTTTGCTCATTACAAATCAGGAGTTTACAAGCACGTGACTGGACAATACCTTGGAGGACATGCTGTGAAGCTGATTGGATGGGGGACTACTGCTGAAGGAGAGGATTATTGGGTACTTTTTGTTACCTTTTCAAATTTTTACCCTTTCAATGTATGAACTATATCTCAGTTTTGATGCCTGGTTGCTAATCCAATGTCATGTTTCACAGCTACTCGCAAATCAGTGGAACAGAAGCTGGGGCGATGTATGTTTGTTCTCTCTTGTAATCTTAATTCAACCATCAAATAAGAACAAGTATATTTTTGACTCATATCTTTCCCTTATTATGACAGGACGGATACTTCATGATCAGCAGAGGAACCAACGAATGTGGCATTGAAGAAGACGTGGTGGCTGGCTTGCCTTCACCCAAGAACTTGTTCAAGGTGGTAGGCGAATCAGATGATGGTGTTTCTGCCTCCATTTAAGCGATGTGATTATTGCTCTCATTGATTGGCTTATATAACATATTTCAAATCTGCATCGTTGTAGGAAATATACACTATTTGATATCTAATGTTCATTGGCAGCAAATCATATTTGTAATTTGTGATTCAGAACATTAATGAAGATCTTAGTTCTACAGGACATGATTCTTCAGAATAATTCTCAGTAGTCTATATGTAAATGTCTTATTAAAGAAGAATACTGTTTGTTATTAACCAAATTATCAAAGGGACACACCACTCCTTTTAAGTTCTTTTATTCTATTCTTCCCTTCCTGTCTGGATCTTGCTTGAATTAGTGAAGTTCTCCGGTGCCAAGCAGGCCATTCTGCAGACGGAAATATGAATCCTTGATCTCAATTGATAACACGAGAAAGGATATTGTAACAGCATAGGCTGTCATGTTTACTTGCAGGTTGCTTCTTAGATCCTTGCAGAGCGCGCATTTGAGATGATAATTTAATGATAAGAAGTGTGTAATGATAAAAAAGGATCACTTAAGTTAAACTGCAATTTCTCATGCTCTCTTAAGAATAGTTTCAATTGTACACTTTTGAAGGAAAGAATTAGACACCACACCAAAATAAATAACAATATAATAAAGGTTTAAAGATGAAAAAATAATCTTTAATACTCTTAAATTACAAGAATAAAATTTCTATTGAATAAATTATTTTTTTTTTAAAAAGATACTCAATCCAGCTCCATAATGGGTATTTTACTTATTCATGCAGCAATTTTATTCGTTAATTTAAAATTACATTAATGTATTATTGCTTGTTATTTTTGGCCTAATTCACAATTTTATTTTGCTTGTTATTGTTACAAAATTCACAATTTTTGGCCTAATTCTTCTTTTGATGATCAATTCAAAAGCCGCACATGAAAGTTCCCATTGTAAATTTGCCCATAATTTGGTTGAGCGAGAAATATAACTTAGTACTGTAGTAGTCAGTCTAATGAAAATGATGGTCTTTAAATGGCTATAAACTAAGCTAAAAATTCTTGCTAAAATCTTCCATCACTATAATTATGAGTTAATGACATGGAGGACAAATGGCTGTTACCACAGATTAGCTTTAACCCTTTCCTTAATGTTTTAAATTGGTTTTAACACTTCTTATTCAGATAATGAGACATAGCTAAGTTGGTTAGAGCTTACAGCAACCAAACATCAACATCATCTAAATTTCTGCACTACAATAAGGCCTTGTTTAGTTCAACTTATTTTTACTTGTTTAAAAAAAATAAGTTAAGTTCAGATCAGATCAGATCAGAAAAAATAAGTTCATATCAGATCATCGTTTTATGTGCAATTTTTATCGCTAAATATCATTAATTTCGTAATGAAAAAAATTATGAAAATTACATATTAATAAAATACACATTATTACGAATCTAATAAGATCCCACTTATTATCGTACACTTAAGGTCAAAGTTTGGTCAAATCAGACAATAAGATCTTATCAGATCAAACCAGATCAAATAAGATCAGATCAAATCAGATCGAGATAAGTTCAGATAAGAAAAAATAAGGTGAACTAAACAGGCCCTAAGTGTACAGTGTAGACATCTACATTTGGTACCCTGTCCCGAACGGAAGTGCTATGACGATAAATAAAACCATCTTTGTATTGGAGCAACGTGAAGAATGCTTGTGGATTGCTGATTAAGGCTTAAACACATAAAACAACTAGCTTGACTCGATACGAAATAAACCAAAGCTAACTAAAACTAAGCCCGATCAGTAATTAGGCCTAATCCCGAGATTAAACCTAATTTTGACGGATTTAGAGGTGCCTAGGTTAAAATCCGAGGCTACCGTAGGAAAAACCGCGCGCAACTCAAGGAGTCCCGCTGGCCTGGTGCGCGCAACCTCCAGTGATGCGCTCGCGGAAGATTCAGAATTTTATAAAAATGTTAAATAAAATCTTACAATAAAGCCACGCGCAAGACAATAGGTTGCGCTGCCCTCAGCAATGCAACTCAACTACTTGCGCGCAGCAGCCGCGCGCGACCTTTCGAGATGCGCGTGCCACCTGCTGCAGCACAATGTTCAAAAACCTAAATTCATCCATTCCTATAAATAGGGGTGCAATACGAAGCTTTGAACACACATAAATTAACCCGAAAGTCGGCAGAAATCTTGTAATCTTATGCACTATTCATTCCCCTTGTCCTAAACACTCACCCCTTTAATCATTTGTTCTTACGGTGGAGTCCATAAGTGTTCTAAACGATGATCTAGCAAGGAAAAGTGGTAAAATCCCGAGCACTTAGATAAATCACCTTTTTTTTTCTTGTTAAAACAACTTTTAATCAATTAATTAGTGTTGTTAGATCACTTTAAATAAACTTTAATTAACTAATTTGACATAGTATTCTTTCGTTAAACAAGATTAGAATTGGACAAATTAATTGATTGTTTTATCACTTAAGCCAAGGCGAATCTTGTTTACTTTTTGTTCTTTCACGAATTGAATAAATAAGAATAACGACTTTTGCGATGTAATTCCTACATGATTAGTGTGTGTAATTAAAATCAACTAACTTAGTTTTAGGTATCACGTTGCATATATTGTTTGGTAATGAAATTGTTAAAAAAGAGGAAGAGCTAGTAGAGGCCGCACTTGGGCTAGAATAGCAATTCCTCCCTAAAAGGAACGTTATTTTAGTACCCTCGCTCCCGAACTCATTTCTGGTATAAGTAGACCAATTTGGGCATGGGTAAACTTATGATTCATGCTAAATATCCCTTGAACTCTATTTGGGAGAAAGGCATGAACGAGGTTTATGAGTTTTCCTAAAACTCATTTGCGACTCCTTACTAGTTTCTTACAAAAAAGCATAATGATAGGATCAACTCTAATTCAAGGTCCTCCAAACAGTCAGGAATTCAAATCCTAATAACACGCCTTAAAATGGTGTAAAGTCCTAGGCTTTTAAAGGGCCATGGGTATAGAGGAGAAGGATCCCCAATGACGGGCACACTCTCCTCACATACAGTATAAGCTAATTTAGGACAAATGGAGTATTTAGATGAGTAAAAGGTAAATATGATACAGGATCAGACCAATAATGACATGCTACTATTCATGCCGAGCAAGCATGGCATGACAAGATAAAACACATTGAAATAAGTTAAATTTAGCTTAGGAACACAAACATGGCATGGTGGCACGTGTGCTTGGGTCGTGCTTGGACTGCTATTTTGCAATTTTTTTACACAAAATGGCGCAAGTTGGCATGTAACAAGTGGGCTTAACTTTGGGCAAGACATGTAAATAAAGCATAAGATAAGCCCAAACACAAACCACAACCACCTTAAATATTTCGTAGAAAGTAACCATGTGAAATTGTCTTTACCTATTGCATAGGTAATTTGATATTACGATTATTTCACCAAATACCTCTAAGTAATTCGTTTATTCATAATATACCCATTAAACTTTCCAAATACACCATATACCCCCAAGTTTAACAACTATGTTACCAAATATCCAAATGACTAACGGACGTCAACTCCGTTAGTCATTAAGGCTTAATTATGCCACGTGAAATTTTTTAATTGGTTTTCTTTTAATATTCCCTTTTAGTTATTAGATTAATTATTAAAAAAAATTAGAAAAACCTTTAAAAAATAAAATAAAAAAACTAGCCACCATCCCCACCTACCAGTTATCATTCCCGCCCAACCCCCAGAACCAACCCCCACCCCCGTTGACGCCGAGACCCACCTCCCCCGCGCCGGCAGCTCCCGCCGCCCCTCCCCCTGCCACCGACAATCCTCCTCTTCCCCCTAGACCACCACCCGAAACCCACTCCCCTAAAAACCCGAAACCCCTAAACAAACCCCACCCCCATCCCTGGAAAACCCCGATCAGCCCTCCACCACCCTCGAAAACCCTTGCGTCTAGGGTTTTTGAGGGTGGGGGAGGACCGATCCGGATTTTTCAGGGGTGGGGGTAGGGTTTTTTATAGGGGTTTTGGGTTATTCGGGGGTGGCCAGGGTTGCTTTGAGGGTTAGAGAAAGGGAGGGTGTGGATCTAGGGTTTGGGGGAGTGGAAATAGTAGGGGTGGGAAGCTAGGAACGACGGGTGGCAGCGCCAGAAACGGGGGAGGGGGCTTAGGTGGTCAAGGGATGTTCCGGCGTTGGAATCGGGGGAGGAGGCTGGGTTCTTACACAACAATTTGTGAGTTTGGGGGAAAGTGGGGGGGTCTTGGGTGTGGGTGGGGCTGACAGGGTGGTGGTCACCGACAAGGGGGAGGCCTGGCACCGGTGGGATGAGGTGGTTCGTGCGTTGACGATGGGACGGGGACTGACTGGGGTGGGCAATGGTGGCTAGGGTGTGGGTTTTTTTCTCCTATTTTTGTAAAGTTTTTTTTTTTTTTTTATTTTATTTATTTATTTATTTATTTATTTATTTTTAAAGTTTTTATAATAATTAATAAATAATTAAAAGGGAGTCAATAAAAAGATGTCACGTGGCATACTTAACTCTTAATGACTAACGGAATTAACGTCCATTAGTCATTAAGGGCATATGGGGAATTATTGAAATACTCAGGGGTATATGGTGTATTTAGAAAGTTTCATAGGTATATGATGAATTATCAAAGTATTTAGGGATATTAGGTGAAATAACCGTTGAATTATTAGTATTACATTTAGAGAAAGAACTATGTAGCTTTATAAAAATTAAGAACATGTCACATTAAGAAAACCTTAATTTAGATTGTACTCATATAGTCACATGGTTACATTGATATAGAGCATGAAACCATCATTTTGATCCAAGATCCGATAGTAAATACACTTTATTTCTCGTAAGAAATGATTGCACGTATCATTATGACACATTTAATGAGGAAAGCGATTCTGACTTTCATATCTATTCTCTTAAAGGTACGTGGAATTTTCCAGGCTACACAAAAATTGTGTACTTGTTTCCGCCTCGATCTGAGTCATTCTTGCATTGCTAAAGGAACACCTGTGTCTGTTTTCACTGTAATAAATTCCTAGTGTCCTAGTAAGTCTCGATACACTACACCCGTTGGTGCATACAATACACTCGTTGCATACGAGCATTTGAAGTTCGCAAAACAAGCAAATGTGCCCAACGCGTATTACTTGACAGGATAGCAAGAAAGCTTATAAGCATCTGAACGTTTCTGAATGCAGAAAAGTAGGAATAACAGCCAACTTGATAGTTCTGCTCACGTTCTATTGATTTTTTTAATCCACCAGATAGTTCTACATGAAAGCATGCTTCAGTCAACTTCTATTTTCAGAATTTAGGAGAAAAAAAGAGTAAATTAATTATGAAGGCTTTTTTAAATGAGAAATCAATCAAAAGGTAAGAACAATGCTTTACTATGTACCAAAAAAGCATAGTAAAATTCAAGAACATGATAGTCAAATAACTGCTACACCCTCGACTTTCGAAATGAACATATTTTTTTCCTTAGAATGATGTAAAGTACTACATGTTAGAACTTATCCATTTGAAACATCTATGAAGTTTGAACATTTACTCCTAAATCAAATCTGAAGTTCCAAAGAGAAACTTCTCATGGAATGAAAATCAAAGATCTAAAACACCAACTCCCAAAGCCATAAGTTATACCATCCAATGAAATGAATCGCCGTTTTCTTTACCCCAGTTTGCTTGTTCTATTCACTTATCTGTATTTCTTATGCCCCCCCTCCCTTCACAAGAACTTGATTGTTTCCACTTACTTTACAGTGATCTGAAAACCTTCAGACGGCTCTAATTCTATCCACCCAATCCACACTACGTCGACCCTTCTCAAACTGTAAATCAATGCTTTTTCGAGACCTGTCATGATATTCTACACTTCTTCGGGACCTCTCCAGCTGCTCAAAAGGAATGTTCAATTTTTCAAGCTTATTGACGCTGCTGGCCTTGTACTCATGTATTTTCATCATTTCTGGCCGGTCAGTGCTTTTCCTTGGTTTTTCTGGCCGGTCAGTGCTTTTCCTTGGTTTTTCTCTCCGGTCAGTGCTTTTTCTTGGAGCATCATAACAGTCAGTGCTCTTTCGAGAATTTTCAGGCCTGTCAACACTTTTGCGTGAGATGTTGTGCCTTTGGGAAGGAGGTTTCTCCATCATGGATACAAATTTCTTGAGATGTCTAATATACTCAGGGTAAAGTTCCAAGTCACAATGACTTCCCCCTTTTAGCCACAAGGGTTCATATTTTTCTGGGGACATTTCCCACAATGTTTTACCATGTGAGAAATCAACAACATCATCAGCCGTCCCCTATATACCATAACATGCAGAGTTAACAGGTTACCCATAGAAAAAGGAAAACAGTAGTTTGATGCTTTTAAACAATGGAAAGAAAATCAAATGAAGCTTCAATTCTTTCATGGATAAGCAATCAGAATTCAAGAAATGATAACTTTCCAATCATAATTATTAATGTCATAGCACTATTGCTCCACAGACTCAGCTTGAGTCAAAAGATGCAGTTAAGTGGTTAAACAAGTCTCCTTTAATTTGATAATTTTGTTCACCCAACGATCTTTTAATAAGATGAAAGCCAAGATTACGTAACAAAAATATTAAGAAATAAAATGGTTTCAGCTATAACTGTTCATTATATCGAGGAGGTCAAGGAGCAAAAAGAAAGGCAGAGAGGTGAGAACTGATGCTTACATGAATTACCAGAACAGGACACTTCACCAATGGGATTTTATCGATATTCTGCACAGAAGAATCACACAATTTTACTTACATGCTTCAGTTCCTTGAACTTGTCGAAACAGGAAATGATGAAGCAATGATAATACCTTGTAGATGTCAAACCAATAAGTGCGCTTAACAGGATACATGACTCTCAAGCCTGAGAGGATAGGACTATGCAGTACAACAGCTCTTAGTCGAGGTAAACGAGAGGCAAGATCCAAAGTGGGACCACTACCAACAGATTGACCATAAAGAATGATATCTTCCTGCTTAGCACCATAGTTCTCTTCAAGACACTTATAAGCAGCTTCAATGTCCGCATATGTGTTGTTTTCAGTGGGCTGTAAATACACAAGTGTAAGTGGCTAATCTTGGGGTTCTTGGCCTTTTTCTTTTTACACAAAAAGGAATTGACCAATTCAAAAGGTTTTTCTATTTCCCAGTAAATAACAGTTGTAAATTTACTTGAGTTACCTTTCCAGTTGATTGCCCATACCCAGAGTAATCATACCTGCAACAACAAAATTACCTAAGGTTAATTCTCTTTGTATGAAGTTCTGCTTGTATTCTTGTACAGTCTTTGAAATTCTATAAAGAGAGTCAGCCTTCAGCAATTGGGAAAATCATGAATTAAATAGATTCATATCTAGGCTGTAAGGTCTGTAAGACTTCAACAATACAGGAGGTTTGCATCTGGAACACATTTTACTACGTTTTCTAGGCCCCTTCTCACAGCCAGATTTTTACAGCATTTCCGATTTTGCAAGGCATGCATTAAAGAAGGGAGAGTTCTCCAACCTCTCCCCTATCAAGATATTAGAATTTTGAACAAAGCTTCTCAAAACAAGGAATTTCATATCCATCCAATATTCCACCCTCACTCTTCATGCTTTAACATCTGACAAGTTAAGAAGGTTCAGATCTTTGTTCTTGCTCTGCTCTCACGGTCACATCTTAAAAAAGATACAAGTACAAAAATTATGCACACTAAAAACCAACACAATGTTGAATATAGTATGATATCAACCTCCTATCTCGCTTATGGGTAAGTAGAGGAGCATTTTAGGAATTAATGGAGCTTGAGCTCAGCAAAGGTTGTGATTATCAATCAAAACAAGTTCTGCTCTGACTGAAGTGCAATCTCGACAATATATGCTAATTTTGCTCAAGAAATCATTCGAACACGACCTACTAACCAAGGAAGGACTATATTACGTTATAAAATCCCTTTACTAGCTTGGTAGCCTTGGTTAAGTGATTAGCAAAAGAATATAGCACATCAACCGAGCATACAGAGTTTTCTACATGGAAACAAAAGAACCCTTCGACTACATTATTTTCTACATCTGTCCAAACCAGTGGACCAAAAGCAAATACAAAATTCGGGTTTAGTTCAGTAGATCAAGTATTCTCAATTATTGTTTCACGTTTCACCAGGTAAAAAGAAGAAACTAAACGGCTTAGAAGTGTTGCCATACATCCCCTCTTTCTCATAAGTAAGCTATCCAATTCCTTCAATTTGGTATGAGGATAAAAGGAACACGCCAAATCTACCATATTAATAAAAAGACCAAAATGATTGAATGACAAGCAGGAGAGAGACAAGTCTTCCCTAAACAGAAAAGATAGAAAGAACAAATGGAACACAGATAGACAATGACTTCAAACACCAAGCAATCAAAGCAAGGCAGCCATCAGCTCATCAGCATCTCGAAATCAATATAACTCCATCGCAGTAATATACCATATTGACCTCGAAACACAATCCGGTTTAAGTGTTTAACCACCTTCCATTAATCACTATTTACTAATCACTAATCCAAAATCAAGGCATTAAACAATCAAATCCTCGTAATTTAGCTGATTGCAACTATTCAAATGGCCTTAACTCCATCATCGAACGAACAAGCACATAACTAGTCAAAAGGTAAAAGATCAAACTAGTATATAGCAGTTCCAATAATTGGGGAAAATAATCCCAGGTCAATAATCTTTCTCTAAACGTTAATTAAACTCCTATAATCAAATTTCAGTAGCAACCCATTAATTTTTAATTACCAGAAAATTAAACAAGATGAACCCATATTATTTTTCTTTTTATTTTATATTTTATTCAGCAATTTCCAAAACCCCCAACTTGTCAAATCGCTGATCAGAATAAAAACAAACAATAATAATAATAATAATAGCAAAAAGTCGCAAAAAATCATCACCAACAACAAATTAACAAATTCCAAATATGGTAACCCTGATTATTCACACAAAATTGACAAAAACCCAGAAAAATTAAACTAAAACCCAGAATCCCAACCTTAGCAAAACAATAAAATAACAAAAAAAAATTCAACAAAATTACGAGGAGAGAGAGAATACAAAATTGAGAATACCAGACATACCCCATAATATTGACCTTCAAATGAATGCTCAACTCAATGAAAAGCTCATACATCTGACCAATATCAGCAGCATTTCCATGAGAGTAAAGCACAGTAGAAGTAGCCATTGGATACCTCACATAAACAGCAACGATCTCAGTTCCTCTTCTTGTTTGGATCTTCAAAACGTCGACGTTTTCCCTGTGTGGGTAAGGTTCTAGAAGCTGTAAACCTGTTAATTCATCTTTAACGACTCTGTATGAAGGTGGGTTTGGTGGGAAAAACGCGAATTTAGCCGCCATTGATGACGTCACCCCTCCCATCTCTCAAGCTTTCTCTCTCTAAACTTCCCCTGTTTTTCGTTTCTGAGAAAAATTAACAAAAAAAAGGGGCTAAATTCAGAACTGGGTTATGACATTCCTTTACTTTTTTTGGGGTTCACCTTTTTTTTTTTTTTTTTTGAAATTTGTGGGTTTCTTTACTTTAACAAAATCTGATCACATAGGCGTTTCCGGTGGATTCAGCGTTTTCCGACGATTTTTAGCGTTTTCCGGCGATGGTTGCGGCGGAGTAAGAAATAGGAGAGAGAAAGTAGAGGGAAGGGGAAGGGGGAGAAGAACCAAGTTGGCAATGGAGTGTGGTCACATGTAAGAAAGTGGGGGGAGATTTAATTTTTATCTATGGCAATTTTGTTAATTATTTTAATTTAATATTTTACTTTATATTTATTTAATTCAATGTTGTTACTTTTTGATGGATTAGAATAATTTTAAATTATGGTTAGAGGGTGTTGACAAAAATTGGACAGAAGTTTTACAGGTTGTTATGTAGTAAATCATCATGTACACATGTCATAAATCATTATGGTTAGTTATGGAAAAATTTTGTTTGAGGTTTTATGATACTTTGAGGTATATCTAGAGATTTTGTGATGCTTTGAGGGTAAATCTAGAAATTAGTTGAGATTTTGGGCAAGCTAAAAGATAAGTTTTTTTTTAAAAAAGGAAAGATATATTGACTTTAATTTGTCATTAATAATTGGATTGATCTTGTTATACATTTATACTTATATTCTCATCGTTTAAATTAACTGGTGCCAAATATTTCAGTTTTTTTTTTTCTCTCAATTTTATCACCGTATAAAAATCTTGTGTAATGACTTAAGGGTGAAGTAAATTGTGACAAAAAGAGTTCCAAATTTACACTCATATTGGTGTAGTAACATGTTATAGACTCATTCTTTGTCTTTGAAGGTGCAATTTTTTAATTGAATTTATCAAAGATTAACTTATTAACTTGTAACCCTAATTTTTTTTTTTATGATAGATGTACATATGATTGGACCTGATTAGCTCGGATTATCATATTGCATGATAATACACCTAATTGGAACTCATCATACATCATTAGCCTTAAAACTTATTTTTAAAAGGTGAACAAAATCGCACTCTATCTAATACCTTATGACTGGTTTTTGTAAATTATTAAAATTTAAAGCAATACTATTCAAAAATGTTAATTAATACTCTAAATTGCCTAATGAGGGTAAGGGTTTTACTGTAGTGTCCACTTCTAAAACATATTCCAAAACTAATCCAATTCAAACTAAATTTGAATTCAAATTGGATAATTTTGAACATATAATTTACAAATATTGATGTTTCACGTACTAAATTTCAAAACGTACGCTTCAACAATTTTACTTCTAAGACAACATATTTCGTACATTGTAGTCATACATAATTTTGGTCAGATTCAACTACTCCGTAGTAATTTCTTATATTCACCATTAACAACAATAAATTTTAACAATGCTACAAACCTACACTCTTGATTAATATTTTTGGATTTGGCATTAAATTAGCAACCACATGAACAATTCATTAAGAGGACAACTCTTAACATAGTCTAAAAAGTAAGGAACTCACATGGTTAGATAACATATTATAATTAATTACAAATAGACCCCCAAAAAAATCTCTAAAAACAAATCAATAATAATAATATTCTTTGGTAAAATCAAACGGGTCTTAATGGTCTTCGATCAATTGAATATACATTATTAGTTGTATATAACAATGTTTTATGCATAAGAATGTGAGGAGTATGTTGGTGACATTCAAGACATTTTCCTCGAGATAGGGTTTTTGTGGGTTTTCATTTTTCATCTGTCCTTTTTATATATTCCTCTTAGAATTTGGCTTTAGCTCCCTTTTCCACCTACGAAACCAACACATATGAGCTTGCTCTTGTCATTTTAATATAACAACAATAACGAACGCATTTTAATCCATGAATACCGTCTTTTCCTCTTAAGAAGGATGCTCAATTGTCTTAGAGCTTATGTGTAGAATAAGGAAGTTGATTACAACGTAGGTCCCTTTGGAGGAATCATTAAAGACAATGGAGTGATGTATATGAGATTTGATATTTTTTAATGAAAGAAATAAACTTTTTTTGCGATATTTTATCAAATAACCTTTTTAACCATAAAAGCCCATATAACTAACTACTCTTTTCTTAAAATAATAATAATAATAATAATAATAATAATAATAATAATAATAAAAAAAGAAAATAACTATTCCGTAACTTTTATATCTCGTAAGTTGATGAAATTACCCTTATGTAACGAACATGAGTTGGGTAAAGATGTTAAATTTGTAAGCTATGCTAGCTAATCATAGTCTAATACTCATGTTCGACATGGATATAATATACATTCCCAACTCTCAAGTGTCAGATTTGATTATTTTGTGTTTTTTTTTAAAAAAAACTTAGCCCATTATGAATCACTGAGGTGTCCTATGACGCCTATCCAATTCGATTTTCAAAAAATTTGGCATGAAAATAAGAGGTGATGACATGAAAAGTTCAAATAACGTAGGTTTTACGTAATGATACTAATGTTAATACCCAAAGTGTTTTTCATTAATTTTTTGACATATGCTTAAAGAATAACTAAGATTACCTGACAAGGGGTGATTGGGTGATTAATTGAGTTTGGAGTTATTTTTGTTGTATAAGTCGTGATGTGCCTGTTGAACTCTTTCTCTACCAATTTTAATATGTGAATAATACACCACTTGAAACACTTGGTGATTTATTTTTAATTTCATCATTCGACCCGCTTATCAGGTTTGTATATCATCTATGTTTGTCTTTAGAGTATAACTAAATGACTAATACATAAAGTGTTAGATGGAGAACTAATAAGCCATTTAGCTAGTTACATCGTAGAATTGTAGATCGGATAAAATATAGATATTTTTCTTTGAAATAATGCATGTCCTATTTGGTGAAATCCAACCCCCAACCTCCAAAGTTTTGAAACTTTTTATAAATATCCGGACGTATCGTGTACCCAATTAACCCAAAATCAATTTTTGCTTTTCATTTGATGATTAAATGAAAAACAATCATTAAAATAAAAACAAGATGCGCATGGGTATACTGTGAATCCGGGTGTATATAACAATCTCTCCCAAAGTTTGGATAAGCCTCCCATACAACCCTTGAATGAATGTAATATCTTATCATACAGCTACCAAAAATGCTTTGGATAAATGATGGCTCTATAAACAAGTGATTACATCAAAATCAGTATCTCGTATGTTCAAAATAATTATAAACCCTCCAATTATTTAATTTGAAAGATTTTTTTTTTTTTTTTTTAATTTTTTGATAAGTTTGCCGCAAATAGTATAAGGTTGCTGTCATATAGTTGGTTGATCGATCATCTTTATATTTTCTAATCAATGGAATAGTGATGTAAACCTATAGTTCCAGGCACCCCAGTAATCTAATCAATAGATTAGTGATGTAAACATTTAAAGATCAGGTACCCCAGCCAATATACCCGAATATAAGGGTTTCGGGGTGGTGAATAGGCATGTTTCTAAAAATTAACCATTCATGAAATTCTTTGCAAGTGATCAGACTTGGTTAATCATATTTGTCTAAAATTAACTTTAGATAAGTACAATCGAATATATTCATGATAAAAAATTTGTATTGGAACTCATTCAAATAGCCTAGTTGAACTTTTAAAAATGACTAGTACATGCATTTACGATTACTATACTTAAAATATTTTAATAAAATACATAAAAATTATAAGTTTGTTTGTAAGCTCGTATACTATTGACTCACATAATAAAAAAATTATAAGCCTAAATGTTTTTTTCCTTCATTTAATAAGATGCATGGCTATATATGGACAATCGTCCATAGCACCTACTCCACCAAGTATTTGTGTAATGGTGACCTCAAAATCATATCACTAAGTGAGTTTCCCATCATCTCAACCAAATATACTCGGTTTGTTTACATTGGTACATACATTGAGTAGATTTGATGATGTTTATAAGTTTGTACACATTTAGTACTTTAGATAGCATTATAAAGGTTGTATTGAATTTTCATAGACTCATGAATTTTGTTAGGATTAGCAAAAATTTGTTATTACGTCAACCAAATACCAAATGACCTCGAATCTCCTTTGAGTTCAACTTTCACTATGAATTACAAGAATGATAATGTACTCCGTAATAGTAAGAACATTTCAGCCATATGTCATACTTTTAGTCAAATATTTAACAAAAAACATAATTGTCACATCATCATTGAATGACCCCAAGTTAACAGCAAGTCATGATGCAAAAATATGAAAATCAAAATAACTGTCCCATACATTTTTTTTAAAAAAAACTTTAAACATTCCAATTGAATTTAAATAGTGGGCACAAAATTGAATTTCCCAAGTAAACTAACTCTAAAATCTAAATGCTCACATGCAATTCAGAAATAACTTCACTAATCATCACATTATAAAGCATGTTTCTTGTTCACTACAAGATTGTTGCTAGGCTAATATGAATGACAAAATTGCTGCCACACAACTTCAAAAATGAGAGACACTACAAGAATCGTGCTTTTAGCGATTGAAGAAGATAAATATGCTTTTATAACACTCCATCTGTATCAGAATAACTGCATTATTTTTTTCAGGGTACAGAGAAAGTGTATCAGTATATAATTAATATAGATTACTGATCAAAAAATAGAGAGGGCGATTAAATTGTTTGGCATTTGGCAAGTTGGAGAAGCAAATGACAACAATTTGGGATGTGTTGAATTGGAAGGTATAGTTTAAGAGACAAGCCACTTTCAAAGAAAGAGCATGTTTTGCCTTAGGCTAATTGATGATAGGGACATCACTCCAGTGGGCATGCATTTCTTGGTGGGCTCACATCCTCATTGTTCCTTTGCCTTGTTCCCATGGATTTATCTATCCACATTTGCATAGGTATTGCACATATATATTACCACAAATCGATCGCTTTGCCTTTAGCCCCACGCCCCTACCTCGATCACAACTCACCAAACTCGATCCCCTAATAAGAAATTTCGTTCAAATTTATAACTGTGATCACAATAATCTAATTTTAGCAGTATGCATGTCCTCCTATAATACATTGTTTGTTTTTGGTTAAAAGGGATCGGATAATATGATTACCATAATGGTGTTAGGAGTTACATTAGAGTTCAACACAAAGTTCACAATGAACGAGGTATTATATATTTCCTATGATCTGATATGTACCTTGTTATCACTTTACTTAATTTTTTGTTGGATTAGAATTATCTTCATTGAATGAATCAATGAATTGAAATCAATCTTTCATGAATTAAAACAAACTCTTATTAACTACAAATCTACAATTGGTTCTTTTTGTATAAAAACTTTTTGTTTAATCTCTATTGTTTTCTCATATACTTCAATTCGTACGCTTAAGTCGTTTTAACTAATCA